TCGTGTACGAAAAACTGAACTCGAAATAAAAAGGGCGTATTTAGCGTTCGGATACGCATAAAAAATACGATACGTGGTCTCCTTTCGCGGGAGAGCCGGTGACCGTCGCACGATACACATACGCGATACACATACGTCGCGAGGAAACATGGGGAAGAGGAAGTATTCGCGTATTCGAAGAAGAAACGACTGTGTCGAACGGCTTTCTCTCGCTTCATCTTGTCCGCAGTTCGGCTATTTCTTTTCATTTCAGTAACGAACGATTCGATTTCGTCACGCCTATGAGATACGATGATGACGACGACAACGATGACATAGTCGTCGTATCACCAAAGAGCCGATGTTGTCGACAAGATAATGCGTCACAATCAAAACGGAGACGCAACGTGGTCGGGAGTGACAAAGAGCTGTGTTCGACGAAGGGAGCGCGAAGAGCTTGCTCCAGGTATCGATGCACTCCGCTCGCATTTACAGAAGGATCCTTGTCGCGTTTCCGTGTTGTGCTCGAAATGCACCCTCGTGCAAAGCCGCCTTGAGGACACTTTGTTCCGTCAAATATATCGTGTGCGGCATTTCACATTAGCTCGCGGTTTTCTCAATAAAGTGACGTTCGCAATAAAAATGCCAAAGGTGCCCGATGCTCCGGGTTCAAAATATCCGCGCTGGAGCAATGTCGGAGCGTCCCCAGCGTTCTCGCAGTGAGCGGCTATTCGATTAGCAACGACGGCGCGATTATCGATTTTGCAACGTCGTGTAGCCGAAGGCAGCCTGCACCAGCAGCAGCAGCAGCAGCGGCCGCGGCAACAGCAGCGACAGCGTAGGAAAAGCGGCGGAAGAGGGGCGGCGGCGCGGACGAGGGTCCTTTTATAGTGCGTAAGGGGCGATACTTTTTTTCTCCCCCCGCCCCACCTCTCCCCCACCCCTTCTCACTCACTCACATACGCATTCTCACTCACTCATATCTACGCTCTTTCTTTCTCTCTCTCTCTCTCTCTCTCTCTCTCTCTTTCTCACTCACTCACTCACTCATTCTATCTTCATCTTTCTCGATCTCTCGCAGCCGGCGAAACGCACGCGGCGACTATCGCGGCGCGATTCCGCCGAAGCATTTAAATCGATCCGCCGGATACGTCGCGATTCGCCGAGCGTGAACCAGTCTCTCTCTCTCTCTCTCTCTCTCTCTCTCTCTCTCTCTCTCTCTCTCTCTCTCTCTCTCTCTCTCTCTCTCTCTTTCTCTCTCTATCTCTCTCTCTCTTTCTCTTTCACGACGTTAATCTGGAGGATGTATTGTCATTGTTGTCGTTCATGACACAACGAGGATACTTAGAAAATTATCGATATCTTCATTCATTAAAATATTATTCGAGCTAAAGTGACGGCCAGATAAATATTGAAAAATATTTCCTCTCTCTCCGTCCCGAGTGACTCTCTGATAAGGCAGTCATGGAACTCGATTGAAAAGATGTAAAAAAATTGGGCAAACATTATTCTCGTTGATTTCCATTAATTCTGTGTCATATCGATGGGCAATTTCGACAGAATGAAGCTACCTCGGACTGTTGCGAAGTAATAAAAAATGAGGCGCTTTACCGATGTTAGTCAGAAAGCGCCGACATTTTTTAATATGGCAGCATCGGTGGGCATCTTCGGCAGATGGCCATGACGGCGCGAAAGCACTCGGGAGCGCCGAATCGACCGGTATCGCCGATAGCACCGCGTTGAGTAATCAAACGTCCACGGGGGAAAAGTACGCGTTCGTCCGTTCGTCCGTCCGTCCGCTCACTTGCCCGCCCGCACGCTCGTCGGGACACTGACTCATCGCCAGTGACGTATCTACCTCGCCGTACACGATACTACATATTGTACACACGTGTGTGTGTTGCGCGCGCGCGCAAGAATGTTTTGTGTGTGTGTCATTCCTCGTGGCAATCTTTTATCCCGTCTTAACCTATGATTCTCTATTATCTGTCTCGTTACGCTCAAATATCTAGTTATCTCTCGTGTGTTACAAGCCGTCTGTCATCAAACTCGTGCGGCCGAACGATGAATAATTGCTACTTATTCGACAAAATAAATGCAACAATAAACACGAATACGCTTCGTTCAACTACCGTGAAAGGAAAACGGCGAGTGGATAAGTTTGGCGTTCGGCGCAAACGTCCGGGCAATCCCACATGCGTCTCCCTTCCCCTCTCTCTCTCTCTCTCTCTCTCTCTCTCTCTCTCTCTCTCTCTCTCTCTC